GAAAATACTCTACTCTGCACAGCAGCATAGACTGTTAGTTCAATCAGTCATGTGCCATCTCCATAACACTGTCTCTTGTTTCGGTTGTACACTCTCTCAGACTCCTGTTTATCCCTCTTGATGCTGTCCTCCCATCTGTATCATTACCTACTTCTTAATCTCTTGCCTTGTAATCTTTCCTCAAGTATGGTTTTTAAGAGTGTTTTCTTTTAATAGCCATGATTCTCTTCTATAATTTCTGTCCGCAACTCTCTCCCCGTCTTTCAGATTGTGTTAATGCCAGTTTACACTGTAAGTACTGGGAGTGTACAGAGATGGGCAAGCTATTAAACAGACTGGTATATCAGCTACATGTATGGTGAACATGGCTGCATTTGCTGTTTATACAAGAGTTGTGGTTGCTCTGAATGTCAGCAGCAAGTTTCCTTTAAGTTAAGAGTTTGCAACTGTATACAGTCTGTGTTTCATCTTCTCCTCCTGGAGGCTCACAGCTGCAGATATCAGCCATCCCCATGCCTCTGTGACTGGCCTTCTCTACTCAGCTGGGCACTCCACATGTTTGTAGGTTTGTCTGTGTATTATCTATCCACTGTCTTCTTTCTCCACCCCCCCCCCCCCTAAGAAAAAAAACCCAGTAAAGATCCCTTTTCAAGCCTTTAGGCGCATCGGGCACATGGGAAGAGCACCCCTATTTTAACAGACCAATCGGCACTAGGTAGGTGATGTGGTCAGCATTACGCCGGCCGTCTTTACTTCCCCAGGACAGCCATCCTGGTACCCATTTTAGGCTGGTTCAATCTGCGACATCCCGTACCATGTTAAAATTCTACCCAGCCAGCAGTGGGTTTCGAACATGGTTCGCTGATATTACCAGTCGGACTCGCAGCGCCTAAGCATCGGACGCCGCACTGTCTTCTTAGTCATGAAAAATATGCACATGCCCTAAATGTGACAGATGGGCAAGCTATAAAAGTCATCATCAATTTCCATTTTTGCCATAGTGGAGAAGAAAGATTTGCAATCCACTAACTGATAGGATATTGTCATTCCATGTCAATGTAAAAGCTCTATAACATCATCAATACATCTCCTATGGTGAACGTTTGCTTTCACATCAGACCTGTGCCTGTGTTGGTAGTTGTTCTGGCTGCATTCTCACTAGATGACCAAACCATTTGATCTTCTGTTTCTCAGTGAATCTGGTGCATGGTGAAGTTCCTACAGTCTTTTTGATATAATTTCTAACTTTGTCTCAGATGGTTAAGATGGTAGCTTTCCTCAAGAATCTAATTTCACAGATGTTAATTTTAAGTAGATTAGCCTCTAATAATGTCCAAGTCTGGCACTGGTAGCACAGCATTGGTATGAATCTGTTGTTTATAATCTGTTTCTTGGCGATAATACTGATCTTTTGATGTCTTAATAACGGTGTCAGTTGGTATATAAATGCACTGGTTAGTTGGCATCTTGTTTCTTTTTCCCGATCTCCCATCCTCCAAGAATATACTTCCTTGATATTTAAATTCTCTAACTTGCTTCAGAGAAGTACCACTCAACCCTGAAATGTAGCGGACTAGGAATTCTACTGACCACTACAAAAGTAAGAAACAGAAATGTTATAAATGCCCAAAAGAGACAACACTTGAGGTTGCCCTGAGTCTAGACCACATAATTGATAACAACACAAATGAAAGACACATATGGTGTGGATTATGCAATGCACTGACCCACAATTATACTGCAAATCTGCACCATTTAAGTCGAGTTTCCAAGCCTAAAAAGTCTTTCCAAAACTAGGGGTAGACTTTTATGGTGGGTATAAAATGCTTCAGGTATAGGCTAAACTCAGAATTTTGAGTTAAAAATCTGGAGGCAGAATTGCCCCACACGTGAAACTGGAAAGACATAATAGTAAATGTAATATGCATGTGACAACCAAAAAGGCTGAAGTGGTTTTACCACTTTCATCCACAAGTGATGGCGAAATGTTTCATAATTACGACGAATTTTAAACAAAGTAAATAGTTAATACTTTGCTTATCAATGTTCTGCTGAAAATTACTTAATAATATCACTGCAATATGATATTGAAAAGACAATTACTTGTCATTTTCAGTTTACTCTTCTTCTTCGCATTCATCAGCTTTAAACTCCCACGGAAAGTTCTGGTTGTTCATCCACCTCCAGACTTTAGTCTTGATTCAGAACTTGAGTGTTGATTGCACAACCGTTTCACAGACCTGGCTTATTTGTATGCAAACTGTTGGTTCCTTGGCTCTCAAGCAGATGCACTACGACTTCAAAGAATGCCTCCATTTAGTTGACTACTAGGACATGTTTGTTGGGGAGGCAGTGGGTCTATTCTTGTTTCCCCCACAGTGAGGCCCTGGGAATCCACACAATACAAACAGGTTTTTCCTTCTGGGTTTTGAGACACTATTCTGGGACAGGAAGGGGAAGAGGGGAGGAACAGACCCACTGCTCCTCAACAAGCATGTCCTAAAAGGTGATTAATAAAAAAATCTGCTTCCATAAGCTGTGCTGGACCAAAAGATACAGATATCACAGCCTAGCTGTAAACCACAATGTTTAAACTGCTCTTTCAAGAGAGCAAGGAAAAAAAAAGACAGAATGGTGGACGCAATTCCAACAAAATGTTTTGGTTATCAGTTTTTGTGAAGGCTGGCATGTGGCTTAAATTTTCAACAACAAAAAACGTAAATTCTGGTTTTAATATCTCCACACAAAAACCCACACACTTGTGTGTTTCTAGAGCCCCATGTGTAAGGCAATAATGAGACTGTTGCATACATATCTACAAAGCAACAATAAACACAACCTTAGTCACAGAAAATATCTGTACATGCACAATGATTTCAATTTCAGTTTCATTATGTGCATAAACAGCCGTCTTGGTGTAGCGGCTAGATGTTCGCCTGCAGAACTGAAGGTCATAGGTTCAGGTCCTGATGGAGCAGACTTGCCCCCCCCCCCCCTCCCCTTGCCAAGATGACCTTGGCTCCCAGGACGACCTAGCCTTAAATGGGTACCAGGTAAAGTCCTAGGAGGTAAAGGCAGCTAGCGTGATCTTGACCACATCACCCATTGAGTGCCAACTGGTCTATACAATATAGATCTAGCCCTATATGCCCAAAGGTGGGGAAAAGGGTCCTTTACTAACAGATGTAGCATCAGAGAACAAGGAATATGGAGAAGCAGTCGCCTGTGCTAGTTGACAAGGCACTTACTAATGATGATGATGATAAAGACATAGACAGCCAGAACACATAAACAATACTGTATGAGCCAGGCAGCAAGTATACAAATGGCCAGATTGTCTTGGTTTGATCACACTGAAAACATGGAGGTCTATTAATTCTTTCTGTCTCCATAGATGCATAGTGTGTTATCGTATGGTTTAAATTTTGACTCAGGATGCCATAGAAACCTGGCCAGATATTGTAACATTCAGCATTGTAAATGCTGCCTCTTTGGAAGTTACTAACCCATGCTCTTTCACTGTGGTTACAAAAGCCAGAGACATCTTTAATAAATTCTCTAGGTACTAAAAGAGTAACTGACAACAATGAAGTGCAAACTCCAAGAGGAAGGATGAAGAGGATGATTAAAAAAAAATAGAGAGGAGAGAGGGACAAAATTACATACCTCAAAGACACAAGAACATTCTGGGTGTTCAGCCATGCAGAGAGCTACTGAGAACAGGGGACGGAGGAGACAAAAGCTACTTCAACACCGGCCTACATACCACCTAGCCTGATAGTATATAGGACATGCATGACAATATAATCAGGGCTTTAAAAAAAAAAAGGTGCCAGTAGTTACCACAAAGTATTAAAGAAAAGGTGCCAGTATTTATTATAAAGTGTCTATTACAGAAGCGTCAAAAAATTATAGTCCGGTATTTATTATAAAGTGTCTAGTACAGAAGCGCTGAAAAAGTTATACTCTAAAATAGGTGCCGGTACAGCTCACTGTTGTGCACCACGAGAAAAATCACCTAAATATTATCCCTGATTTACAACAGTCATATATTTGAAAGGTAGGTAGGTAGGTAAATTGTACCCCACCAGGACATCACACAAGCTATAAACACCCTGTGACCCAAAGTGCCACCACTGGTGATAAAGATCACCAGTGGAGAGGTCCTGGAAACCCTGTTCAGTGGCTAGGCCATATTTAAGGGCTGACCATATTTAGGGCCCCCGGCAAAAGCCAGGGTGGGGCTCAAAATAGCTAAAAATTGCATCCCACATGGGGACGAAGGTTAGATATTTGAAAGAAAAAAAGAATATGCAGATATTGTCACTCTTCCTTCTTAAACTTATGGTCTGATATGCATTTAAAAACTGTGTTATCAAATACCAACAATAAAACCTCAAAACAATTTCAAAAGTATGAATACTTAAAGGTAATCATCAAAGTAAATCGACACAGAGAAATTACATATAATTTATAGTGTAACAAAAACATATTCAATTACAGACAAGGGAAGTAACTCTCATTAATTAAAATTACACATGTTAACTCCACTAGTCTTCATTGTAATTTACATAAATTATGCCAATAGTAGAAAAGGAACACTTTTGAATGAATGAGTGAAAAAATTTTAAAAAATAATTCAAATGCTTTTCACTAACATTTTTACTCACAACTATAGTACATGCTGAAGAAAATCAACAACATAAACTGCTCCAATGTCTGCCATATTTTTTAAGTAAACGCCATGCCCAAGAAACTCTTAATGCCAGCACTGTCAATGCCAGATCATTTCCAGAATAACTAAGAATGCAGACTCAGGTTATGTTTCACATAACAATATACAACCGCCCAGTGCGGACTGTTAGATCATGCACTCTCACAACAAACAGTGAAAACTCAGATTACACATCCTATTTTTACGTCCAGCCATACAGAATGGGCGGTCAGATTATGCACAAAGTGTTGTCAATCTGGACACACTGAGCAGGTCTGCAAGTTGTTTATACAAGGCCCAGTCTGGCCTGTGTCATCTGATTGCGTAACCTCACCAGCTCAGCAAATATATCTTTATCTGTGGGAGAAGACTGAATATTATCATATCAGTCACAAAGTTACAAGAATATCATATCTGTCACAAAGTTACAAGAGTATCATATCTGTCACAAAGTTACAAGAGTATCATATCTGTCACAAAGTTACAAGAGTATCATATCTGTCACAAAGTTACAAGAGTATCATATCAGTCACAAAGTTACAAGAGTATCATATCTGTCACAAAGTTACAAGAGTATCATCATATATGTCACAAAGTTACAAGAGTATCATATCTGCCACAAAGTTACAAGTCATATCTGTCACAAAGTTACAAGAGTATCATATCTGTCACAGAGTTACAAGAGTATCATATCTGTCACAAAGATACAAGAGTATCATATCTGTCACAAAGTTACAAGAGTATCATATCTGTCACAAAGTTACAAGAGTATCATATCTGTCAAAAAGATATAAGAGTATCATATCTGTCACAAAGATATAAGAGTATCATATCTGTCACAAAGTTACAAGAGTATCACATCTGTCACAAAGTTTCAAGAGTATCATATCTGTCACAAAGATATACAAGTATCATATCTGTCACAAAGTTACAAGAGTATCATATCTGTCACAAAGTTACAAGAGTATCATATCTGTCACAAAGTTACAAGAGTATCATATCTGTCACAAAGCTACAAGAGTATCATATCTGTCAGAAAGATATATGAGTGTCATTTCTATCACAAAAATACAACAATATCATATCTAGACAAAGATATAAATAGGTGGCATTCCCAGACAAAGATAAATGGGTGGCATATCTAGACAAAGATTTTTGAGTGTCATATCTAGGAAGGCTGGCTGGGTCCACTCCTGGACTTTGGCTTTATTTCAGAACTGAAGTTTTGCATGTACATCCTTATTTACAGATCTCTCTTATCTGTATGCAGACTGTTGGCTCCTCACCTCTAAGGCAGAGACACTCCAACTTCAAATGAATATAAAGGGGATGATATGACAATATCTTACCGGAGCATTTGACCAGTCCTTGAACGATGTAGCGCAGGTAGGCGTAGAAGTCACACACTGCAGTTATCTAAAGAATATGAACAATGTTACTGACAGTCACAAAAGTACCACATTTATCCATGTATAAGGCACCCACAGCTATAAAACAGCCCTTATTGTTTTAGTCTTAAATTACAAAATAAAAATGTTAAACACATTACACAGGTGTGTTCCCCTACTGTCATTAGGTGAACCAGCCAACTGATTTTTTAAGCCCAAAATTAAGAAATAAATATTTTAAACACATTCTACATAAAAGAGGACCCCCAATTTTAAACTTAAAAAATGTGGGAAGACGTACTGTCTTACACACAGAAAAATATGGTAAGTCAAGGACTTTTTCCTCCACAATCAGTGTTTCAAGCATTTAGTTCAAATAATTTAGTTTTATAGATCAATCAGCACTTTGGTGATGTGGTCAACACCAAACCAGTCGCCTTTACATCCCTGGACATTACCTGGTACGCAATGTAGGCTGGGTCAACCTGTGAATCAAGATCAAATGTGGAACAAATCTTCCTTGGTGCGGAGTTGAACCCATGGAACTAGTAGTGTACTGGTTTGGAGACAGCTTGAGAGAGACAAAAACAACCTAGCCTGAGAGAGAGAGAGAGAGAGAGAGAGAGATGCAGGCACAGAGAATGAGAGTCAGAAAGATAGCATCAGAAACAGATAATAAAAGATACAGAGAAAAACAGGACCAAAATGCACGAAGGGCAGGCATTACGTAGAGCCTCCTCCCACCAGAAGCTCAAAGCACAAGGGACCTCTTTCTCAACCTAGCAAGCTATCTGTCTCTCTCCAATTTCCGACCTACCTATAAAAACTCTTGGCACCTTCGGGCGTTCTAATTTTTTTTGGCAAATCTATGTTATCTCCTCTAGTTATATATTTTTTTTAAATTTAAAAAAAACGCTGCGCACAACAAGTAGATTGTGACAGTCGTCCTGAATGGGGCCTTGTTTTGTACGCTCAGTCTGCAGGACTGTTTACTTCGTGGTGGTCTGACTGGGGACTGCCTCGGTCGGTGGTCGCACAGATGATCAGTGTAACGGCTAGCGGACAACCAGCTAAAGCCAGGAACCAGGACCCTTAAAACCTGCGTCGAATTTAGGCAACAAAGGAACAATCTTAGGTTTAATTGCACAACACAAAGGAACAGAACTAAATAATATAGCAAAGGAACCATCCTTGATAAAGCAGGCCTTCAGGCGTCTAAAAAAGGACTAAGCTTGGAATTTTTGTTTGATTTTTACGATACAAGCGAGGCAACTGGTCATTATCTTCTTCGATAATTCAGTTAGAAAAGTTATATGCCTTGATGAAAGCTATTCTGCAGTCCATCTCCCCATGTAGCATACAGCTTTGTCTTTATTGTGGGTGGAACAGGCCACAAACTGCGTCTCTGTTACCAGCATACAGTTGACGATGCTGGAGCACACGCTCAGCTATTCCTGGTGCCTTGTAGCAGGGACATGTCTCTGTGTTTTCTAGAATGAAAAACTTTAACACATGTTGGTGAATGTCTGTTGTGCCCTGTTCTTATTCTGAATATTACATCCTGTTCCTCTCTAGAAGAGGGAATCAAGTGAGTCTCTGGGGAAACAATTTGGTGCCTGTATATCTAGCTACCTTTCTTTGATACTAGATTGTATTAACGTTTTTATCTCTTGGTGGATTAAGTCAATATTTGGTTCCACCATGACACTGCCACTTCTGGCCAATCTGTCTGCTATTTGATTGTCTTCCAAGCCACAGTGACCTGGAATCCACTGCAATACAGATTTCTTTACTGAAAAGCCTAAGTGAATCAGCTGTTGCATCATGCCTACACACTGCGTGTCTTTTGTATATCAATAAACAACAACCAGTCATATACAAGTGAATCTCATCTTATCTTGATCTTCTTGTACTTTGCGGTGTTGAGGTCAAGTATAATTTAGGGGAAAGTACCAATTTGTGCACTTCGGAAATGGGGATTCCCAGAGACTCTGTTATTCCCTCTGTCCATCGCTTGCATGGTTGGCACTTACTTCGCTTCCTGCCTGGTCTGTGACCATTGCTTACCGTGATATACTCACTGTCTGCTGACATCCGCGTTATATGGCCAAACCAATTCACCTGTTACAAGCGAATGAGCCTAATAATTACAAGAAAATGTACTGACCCTGTTTCGTGACATCTGGGAGATGTAGTACCATTCGTCATCCCCCTCAAATTTGATTTTATAATTACACAGCTTATGGCTCTCAGACAGACAGCATTTCCTGAAACATACCATGGACAAACAATATTAAACAGTCACTCAGACAGACAACATTTCCTGAAACAAACCAGGGACAAATAATATTAAACAGTCTCTCAGACAGCATTTTCTGAAACATACCAGGGACAAACAATGTTTAACATTCTTCATTTCATTCTTCTTCTGTGCATTTGCTGGCTGTAAAGTAAAATGTAAAGGACCCTTTTACACATCTTCAAGCGTAACGGGCCCATAGGGCAAGACCCTCATTTTATAGACCAACTGGCACTCAGTGGGTGATGTGGTCACCATCAAGAAAGTCCCAGACTGTAAACTCCTGTGGAAAGTCCTCATTGTTTGTCCATTTCTGAACTCTGGTCTTGTTCCAGAACTTGAGTTTTGTGTGCACATTTGTTTTACAAATCTTGCTTATTTATATGCAGACTGCTGGTTCCTCACCTCTCAGGCAAATACACTCCTAGAAAGAAAAACCTCTAATTAACTGCCTTTTATGACAATGCTTGTTAAGAGGGGGTGGGGCCGCAGTTGATTTATCTGCCCCACCCCCCCTTTCTGAATGCACAGACATATTTATTTCATTCAATTTCCCTCCAACAAATATCAGTCATCTATGCTTGCATATAATAAAATGTTACATTTTCATTTACTCAATTTCTTGTTGAAGCTGTTGTGTGCTGGGGCAGTGTTGGAGGTAGACAGTACAATGGCAGACACATTAAGTCCTGAAGTGATCACATTAACTCTTTCTGAGCTGCTGGTCAGAAAAATTTCAAAGATGCAAGAAACCACAAACATAGTTTATCTCAGACCACAAACACAGTTTATCTCAGACCACACACACAGTTTATCTCAGACCACAAACACAGTTTACCTCAGACCACAAACACAGTTTATCTCAGACCACAAACAGTTTATCTCAGACAACAAACACAGTTTATCTCAGACCACAAACACAGTTTATCTTAGACCACAAACACAGTTTATCTCAGACCACAAACACAGTTTATCTCAGATCACAAACACAGTTTATCTCAGACCACAAACACAGCTTATCTCAGACCACAAACACAGCTTATCTCAGACCACAAACACAGCTTATCTCAGACCACAAACACAGTTTATCTCAGACCACAAACACAGTTTATCTCAGACCACAAACACTTTATCTCAGACCACAAACACAGTTTATCTCAGACCACAAACATTGTTTATCTTAGACCATAAACACAGTTTATCTTAGACCACAAACACAGTTTATCTCAGACCACAAACAAAGTTTATCCCAGACCACAAACACAGTTTATCTCAGACCACAAACACAGTTTATCTCAGAGCACAAACACAGTTTATCTCAGACCACAAACACAGCTTATCTCAGACCACAAACACAGCTTATCTCAGACCACAAACACAGCTTATCTCAGACCACAAACACAGTTTATCTCAGACCACAAACACAGTTTATCTCAGACCACAAACACAGTTTATCTCAGACCACAAACACAGTTTATCTCAGACCACAAACATTGTTTATTTCAGACAACAAACACAGTTTATCTCAGACCACAAACACAGTTTATCTTAGACCACAAACACAGTTTATCTCAGACCACAAACAAAGTTTATCTCAGACCACAAACACAGTTTATCTCAGACCACAAACAGTTTATCTCAGACCACAAACACAGTTTATCTCAGACCACAAACACAGCTTATCTCAGACCACAAACACAGTTTATCTCAGACTAAAAACTACCCATAAGTAACAGAAAACAGCCCCTACAAAGGTTCTCAAGCTGTATACTAAAAGTTGCTCTTTCATCAGTAATAATGCACATCAAAGCTCTTCTAAAACTGTTTACACTGATATGAGCACCCCACAACAACAATTACATGTAACCAGTCCTTTAACACTGCACATGGGAACCATATGAATAGAATTTCAAAACTGCTCTTGTGGTTTTTTAGCATCAGTACAAGAGTCCCACTGTGGAAGAGATTGATGCCTCACCATGCAATCCTTCCCAAAGACAGCAGTGGTGCAAAGTAGCCAACCCTCACTGTGGAGACGGCACAGAATATTGTTAGGGGAAACATGTGAGGAGTGGCTGGCCCAGTGGTCATGAGGCTGGGCTGGACTTTCATGCAGAAGACCAGGGTTTCAATCCTCAGTAAGTGATGATACAGATTTCTTCTAATCCTAACCTGTATAGTTCAATATGAAAGCACTAGCCACGGGGCCCTAAATCTTCAGTCTCAACCGGTCCTACACCAGCCTAAAAGTGGCAAATCATCATCATCAGGTGCCTTGCCGACTGGCCTGGGTGATCATGCCTCTCCACAATCCGTGATCTCCTGCAGTTTGTATCAGTCCGTGTGCCAACACACCTCCATTCCACACATTAAGACTGTCAAGAATCTTCAGAACCCACAGATCTTTCCAGTGGTCACAACATGTTCCATTTCCCCTCTTCTTATAACATGGATACAGTGGCAGTAAAGCAAGGTTTTTCTTTAAACATATGTGAACGCCTTCTCGAAGAAAAATACATTTCCAAGTTTCACAAAATATCAAACAAAACATTTAAAAATCACCTCGGTAACGACTGATCCCCAGGGATAGGTTCAATAGACAAGGTGTTTGTCCTCACACTCTCCACTAGTCTGTCAGCAAGCTAGTCATTTCAATAAAAAATACATTCAAAGTCATAATAAACATGGGTCATACTTATAAAATAACAATCACAAACATGGGTCAGACTTATAAAATGACAATTACGATCATGGGTCAGACTTATAAAATGACAATCACAAACATGGGTCAGACTTATAAAATGACAATCACAAACATGGGCTATACCTATAAAATGACAATCACAAACATGGGTCAGACTTATAACATGACAATCACAAACATGGGTCATACCTATAAAATGACAATCACAAACATGGGTCATACCTATAAAATGACAATCACAAACATGGGTCATACCTATAAAATGACAATCACCAACATGGGTCAGACTTATAAAATGACAATCACGAACATGGGTCAGACTTATAAAATGACAATCACAAACATTGGTCAGACTTATAAAATGACAATCACAAACATTGGTCAGACTTATAAAATGACAATCACGAACATGGGTCAGACTTATAAAATGACAATCACAAACATGGGTTATATTTATAAAATGACAATAAAAAGAAGGTGGCAGAAATAAAACTGGTCAAACACTGTTTTTTCGTGCCCTATCATATTCTTTTTTCAGGTTCACTGACTGTAAATTCCAGAGAAAAGCTGTGGCTGTTCAACCACTTCTGGATTAGTACAAATAATTTAGTTTTATAGATCAATCAGCACTTGGGTGATGTGGTCTTGCTCCAGAACTTGAGTTTTGTGTGCACAACCATTTTACAGTTCTGACCTATTTATATGCAGACTGATGGTTCCTCACCTCCCAGACAGATGCACACTGACTTAAAAAGAAACAACCCTAATAGGTCGACTCTTACAACAAACTTGTTAGGGTGCAGTGGGTGTATTCTTTTTGCTCCCAAAATAGGAATCCAGAACCTACATGGGGTCTCCATCATGTCTGCGTAGAGGGGCTTGCAGGGCCCAGTGTCTCCAAGAGCTACACTGGTGGTAGCATTGCTTCTAGAAGTTTTGTCTCAGGATAAGATGAAAACTGGCAATATTTGGCTCTGCTTTGCTGTCCATTTCAAATCCCTGTAAGGCTGATGTCTCAGCTTTACATCATCGACCTATATATTGGCTTGGGTACAATTTGTGCTGATGCAGTGTTTAGTAGGGCGCAAAAGGATCCCCTGCAAGGCTGATGCCTCGGCTTTACATCATCGACCTATATATCGGTTTGGGTACTGTTTGTTCTGATGCTGTGTTTAGAAGGGCTGGACATGACTGCATTTACTAAAAATAGTAAGGGAGGAGGGGTTTATCATGAAAAAATGGCTTGTAGTCACATAGCTATGGTGTCACTGTGTGAGACAATTTTGATGTACAGTGTTACCTAAAAAATAAGCTCATGTATATAAACAAATCTGAAACATTTGTACTGACCTGTAAACTGCCTCCCCCAACCACCAACATAGTTCACAGTCAAAGGTTAGCAAAGCAAAACTAATACTTTGGTGCTTATTAGGTTAGATAAAACAATGCAACATTTCAACTGTCAAATTCTTAGCTCTCACTTTCAAATTGAAAATCTGCTCTTAAATAAAGCTGAGAATCTTGGTGTGCTTCCAACTTCTCCCTTCCTTTGGAGATTGACTAACTCACCATCCTCATTGTTTCTAAAACTATTGTTATCTCCTACTTTTGGCAATACGCAGAAGGCCTCACTGGTGAAATTTAGCCAGTGCATGTAATGTATGGATGACACATCTTATAATTAACTTGCAGGGTTATAGTTAGTTGTGTATCCTTTACAGAACCTTGCAGAACCAACCCCAGTATTGTTTGGCTGTTGTGGTCGAAAGCAGCTCGGATCGAACCCGGCACTCCGGCATTACGAAGTGCGTTTACAATGCCTAAGCCACAGACACTTGCAGGGTATAGATGTTAAATAAAGGGACCCCATTCTATGCCTTTAGGTGTATTGACATATAGTGCCAGATCTATATTTTATAGATCCACCAGTACTCAGTGGGTGATGTGGTCAACATCACACTAGGACTTTTCCTGATACCACGTTAAGGTTGGGCTGACCTAAGGGATAATGTCAATTTCGAAAAAAAAAAAAAGTCTGGCTCCATTCGGATTTAAACCCCAGGTCGCCTATGTTAAATATACTAAAGGAATATTAACACACACATTAACAATATACCTGAGAGAAGCCAACCTTTAGCTTACCTGTGTATTTCTGAAGCTCAGACAAGGCTGAATGTCTTCACGCTGTACCCTAGCAAAGAACTGCCCATTAAACTCCATTGTTGGCTGCAGACGCCATCTGATAAACTCATCAAAGACAACAGTATCCAGCTGGGGAACAATGCAAGAACAGAAATGGTTGAAAAGTCTTTTTTTCCCCTGCCTTTTAACACTCAACAGAGCATAGGTTTCCATTTGAGTTAAGAACTGAATGGATCAAAGCTTAACTCCATAAGTCTTAAATTGCCAACTTCAGCAGCTATATGCATTTAAATTCCGACCGTACTGTGTGACTATGTTTCTATCTTGCCTTTCGACCGACTGCTGAATGTTGGCCAGATCTCATTCCCTACTTCACCAACCTCTTCAGACAGTGCTGACCTGTCTGTGCCTCCAAACTGTTCACTTGCTCCCAGAGAGCCTTGATAACATCTAACTTGTCACGCCAATTTACCACAAAGTGATGCTAAACCAACCAATCTGTCTGCTTGTTTGTTTTTCAACATACCTGCATATCCAAAGGACAGTAACTACCCAGGACTTCTGAAGCAATGCTTGCCACTCAGCATGAAGCGCCAGAGTGGCAAGGAACAACCAATTGCACATAAATAAGCCAGTAAAACGGATGACATGCAAACCCAGGACCTGGTACAAAAAGAAAGTTGACATAGAGGAACAATAAGGACTTTCCGCCAGAGCTTACAGCTGGTGAACAAAGAAGAAGAGGAAGAAGACTGCACTAGCAGAGATGATGTTTGGTGATGTATCTCCTGTAGGAAACCTTGGCAGTTTCTAATCTCAGGAAACAGTCTGTCAACAGCTGGACTCCTGTGCTTGTGATTAAAGTGTAATCATACTCTAGATACTTTGCTGTGTATGCAACCTCTCCTTCACTGCATGCTTTAGCTTATGATGAACTGGTGCTTAGTGAATGAACACTGACCTCTAACTCTGGTCCTCATTGGCAGCATTCAGAATTCCAATACACCAATTCAACTGGAAAGTTCACGGCACTACAAAGGAATAAAATACCCTCACCCATTCGCTTAAAGAGACTGGAACACTTTCAACAGAAATAGAAAATACAATGGACTGAAAATAAGAAAAACACTGACACACTGGCTCATAAACAGCATCCTGTCCTGAAAGCCCAGGAATTTTGGCCAAGTTAAATGTCAAGGTGGCTTGAAATAAAAAAAACTGCGATGGAGGGTAGTTTTCTCAAAATGAGCCAGAGGCTAACCTCCAAGAAGACAGATAAAGAACATTAAAAAGGCACTGGCTAAGAAAGCACATAGGGCTGCAGAGGTGACTAGAGAAAGAGAAACTTTCAGGTATGCCATGACAACAGCAATGTTCTGTAAAGAACCTGCTGATTGATGATGATGATGTTTGAGATGAGGAGGACATGGGAAAGTTAGTGAAGGACATATGCTCCACTGCAAAAGAAGAAAGAATGGTATGGTACTGCCAGCAGTAGTTAACTATGCAGCATGTAGATGGCTCGAATGAGGAAACAAGTATTACCTCCTTTAGAAGAGAGTGCTGTTCCGTTGCCTCTTTCATCTCCCGGGACTCCTTGGTGAACTGATGGTGACTAGTTGAGCGTCGATGAGTTTTCCAAAATGGCTTGCCTAGTTTGTCTTTCTTGGAGGTGGTGTCAATTTGTGGGTGCAGGTGTTTGTTGGGACTGCTGGGTGTAGAGGTCAGAACCAAATCTTTTAGAGCGGCCACTTCTGCTGTCAGGACCTCAATCTGAAACAGTGAAACCCTCTCTATGATTCTGTACTTGCATGGACACAACAAATGGGCACTTTCATTTATTCCCTTCTTGTGATTAAAAAAAACAACAAATGGATCATTCTATACCTCTGGTCACAGCAATGTTAACTTCTGATCAAGGCAAGTTCTTCTTCAACGTTCACCAGCTGCAAGCTCCAGCGGAAAGTCCTGACCGTTCGTCCATTTGGACTTTGGTGACTTTGTGCAGAGCCTGAGCTTTGCATGTAACTCTTCTGGTCAAGACATGTGGACAGCCTTAATTCTATACTTCTGGTCAAGACATGTTGACAGCCCTAATTTCATTCTTCTGGTCAAGACATGTGGACAGCCCTAATTCTATACTTCTGGTCAAGACATGTTGACAGCCCTAATTTCATTCTTCTGGTCAAGACATGTGGACAGCCTTAATTCTATACTTCTGGTCAAGACATGTGGACAGCCCTAATTTCATTCTTCTGGTCAAGACATGTGGACAACCCTAATTTCATTCTTCTGGTCAAGACATGTGAACAGCCCTAATTCTATACTTCTCATCAGGGCAAGTGGACAGCCCTAATTCTATACTTCTCATCAAGGCAAGTGGACAGCCCTAATTCTATACTTCTGGTGAGGGCACACAGACAGCCCTAATTCTATACTTCTGGTCAGGGCAAGTGGACAGCCCTAATTCTATACTTCTGGTCAGGGCACACAGACAGCCCTTATTCTATATTTCTGGTCAGGGCAACTGGACATTCCTAATTCTATACTTCTGGTCAGGGCACCTGGACAACCCTAATTTTATACTTCTGATCAGGGCATGTGGCCAGTTTCACACATTCTGTATTAGTTTTTGAATAAATCTGCTGATGAAACATATATTGCAAAAACTTGACTATTTTCAAAAGTGATCTGCACCACTGGGTGGTGAACTGATACATGACAAGGCAGATGAGGTCAAGGTCATTTGGGAACAAGCAACGGAGTCAGTAGAGAAAGAAGATTATTGTGGCCTGGAGAGAATAAGGCACCTGGGTGTAACCAGAGGGATTGACCGGCTCACTACACTCAGAGGAAAGGCAAGAAGGACATATAACCAGATTGTGACCAGTACCATCAGTATTGGAACTCTGCACTGGCTGCTGATCAGAACGGAGCATGCATGGGAATGCCCCGAGTGCTGTGATGTCATTTCTTGACTCAACTCAAATCAACTCTACTCAAACGTGAATGTCACACTATGAAATGCTTACTGGTTTAGATTATTCCAAATGTATACTTCTTACTTATCAACACAAATAAATACTAACTTTTGATTCTGCTTCTTTCAACTGTCTCCGTGCTTGCTGTTCACTGAGGGCAGCGTCATTCAACTGAGAGTTCACTTCCTGGGAGATCAAAAACAGATCAAGTAACTTAATTTGATAAAAAACAGATAAAAAAACAGAAATTAAAAGAGATACACCTGCTTCTTCTAAGCATTCACCAGCTGTCAGCTTTAGAAGAAAGTTCTGGTTGTTTGTCTACTTCTGGACTTTGATCTTGTTCCAGAACTTAAGTTTTATGTGCACATCCATTTGTACAGATCTTGCTTATTTTTGTGCAGACAGATCATTCATCACCTCTCAGACAGATGCACTCCAATTCTGGAGGAAACAGCCTTAGTTCACTTTTACGACATTCTTGTTCGGGAGGCAGTGGGTTTCCACCCCCACCCCCTCGGCCCAATTCCCAATGGCACTGGGACCCAATGTGTGGGGAAACAGATTAAATAGGATAAACTTATGAGAAATAGAATAACAAGCTTATAAAAGAGCTACATTTCTCTCGCTGTGTGTGTGTGTGTTTGCGCACGTGCGTGCATGCGCATTCACTCTTAAAAGGTTGGTTGGCAAGCCGTGTTGAGACTTCTAACTGGTCACCTATCATGACATGCTTGCCGGGGTCAGTGAGTATTTTTGTTGAAATTAAAAAAAACAGGGCCCAGGAATCACACGGAACAAAGAGACAAATAAAATAGCACAGACTTATAAAAGAGAGATTATAACATTTATATAAATACAGGGTCTCCTTGACTTTTGACCAAGTTCCGTTCTAACAGGTCATAAGTTTAATTTCTGTTTTTCAAAGCCATTTTCGTTCAAACAGGTCATAAAGTTGTATATAAAACACACAAATCTAATCTATACACGCATAATTGCATTGTGCCAATTTACAGCATGGTTGTGATATTTGTACCTTTATGTCAACACATCTGACTTTCGCCGGCATTTGTTGACCAAGTTAGCCTTTCTGGAGATACATTCTATTGCTACTTCACACACACACAAATTATAAAAAGATGTATAATTTTGAGAGCCATGGAGTAAACTACACAAGATGACAAAGTAGAGGATGGCGTGGCATGAGTTGAGTGACAGCATTTGATTCAATGACAGACAAAGGGTTGAAGAAATAGAAAGAATAGTTACACTCACCTCAAACAAGGCAGCAGTAAAATCACTGACTTCCTTCATCAACCTCTCTCTGATCCCCCTCAGCTCATCGACCTCTTCATCTTTCCTTTCCAAAGCCTGACAAACAAAATTCAGCATGTTAGCAATTGCATACACACATACCTCTAAACAAAGCAATAGCATCCTTCATCAACATGGTCAAGTGCCTTGCCGAATGGCTTGGGTGATCATGCCTCTCCACAATCTGCGATGTATGTATCAGTTCATGTGTTGACACCCCTCTATGCCATGACAAAAGAATCTTCTCATGTTTTCTTGTCTCTCCTTCCACAGATATTTCAAGCTGCCATATGTTCCACTTTCCTACTCATTCATACAGCTGTCACTGTTCCCAGCTCAGATCCTTGTTATGTGCCTCAGGTCAGATGCCATCTGCACATCAATGGTTGGCTTCATCTGCATATCAATGGTTGGCTCCTGTATCTTTTGTCATTGACCATCATAGTATACTTTAAAATAGCAGGACATGATTCCAAACACAGCAGTTCTCAATAAGGCAAACCTGACAAGCATCCACACAATCCTTAAAAAATATCAGATCAGCTGGGTTGGTTTCCTAGGTCACATGCCAGAGCACCAGCTTCCAGACAGAATATTTTTCAGTGAATTCCACCACAGGAAAAGATTCCCAGGTGGACAGGAAAATGAACCCCCACTGGAAAGCAGCCGAATCAAACTGGGTATTTCAGAATTACAAAGCGCATTAGCCACAGATGCCGACAAACACAAGCACCAACCTTCTGAGCCCTTGACAGCTCCATCTCCAGCCTGGCATACCCTCGCTCCTTGACAGAGACCAAGGACATTCTTCTTGATATGATCAGCTCGGAATTAGTTTGCCTGAATGGATAGGGCTGGGGTCTTCTCAAATCACACCCTCCCATGTCTGCTAGAAAATCAAAGCTGTCAACGAAAATAATCAAAACATTAAAATGCAACAATACTGGAGTACTAAACAAATGCAGACCACTGGTAAAAAACTTCACCCTGTCTGCCACCAAGAGAAACCACAAACCCAGCATTCATATCTGTGACTTATTCCCGTAACTGCAGCTTACTCAGCATTTCTGCTTTAACCTGACCATGAGAAGCCTAGATAATTGCACTGGGTTCTGTTTGTGAGTGTTTACGAAGACTGATATGAATATCATCATCATCATCATGTAGCAGGTCCATTGCAGAACGTCGCTCTCATCACAGTCTGCCTGTAAGAAACTCGGTCTCTTGCCAGTTCTCCCGCCTCATGAACTTTCACACTCAAGGAGTCACTTATATCCTGTGCCCATCTTCGTGTCGGTCAGCCCCTGCCCCTCCTTCCTGGTACCATGCCTTCTGCTATAACTTTTTCCAATCCGTCGTGGCGCTTGATACGACCAAAATATTTCAGCTTTTTAGAAAGGATGCTGTTTATTAGCCAATCTTGATATGAATATATTAACTTAAAATGGCAATTAAGGAGTTTCCATGCAAACAAAATGGTTTCTTCGATGGGGTCACAGGAGGAGTCACCCAATAATATATATTTCGAACCCTAGGAATTATTATATTTAATGCTTCTCTCCATTAATTTTACTTCTTCTTATCCTTCTGACCTTAACCACCCCCCACTCCCAGTGGAGCATAGGCCTTCAATCAGCTCATGCCAAGCCATCCTGACCTTTGCTATCACATGCAGCTAACCCCACGTCCTATCCATCTTTTTAAATGCAACCTCTAGTTTCCTTCAAGTATTTTTTTTTTATTTTCAAGTCTGTTTATTAATTAAAGGAATGTTTAACACAAATACATTTTTTTTTAAATGTTTAAATTATTAGTGATCTGTGTCAAATGGTTGTGCTTTTTAAAGAAGTACTTGGACCAGTGTTTGCCCACCTTTTTGTGTGCCAAGCCCCACCTATGCCTTTTGATATTCTTATGCCCCCATTTAACATATGCATAATAAACTCTGGATGAGTCCATTTTTGAATTGAAACTACTCCCCTTAAGAATCAAACTGCCCCCCCCCCCCCACCCCTCCTCAACAATCAAACTGTCCATCAGAGGGATGTGATCACCCACTCTGGGAATCATTGGCCTGAACTGAATGAGTACTTTAAAAAAAAAAAAAAAAACGTACTCTATACATCCTACGCTAGTTGAGTAATTTTGTACCTCTCAACTGGGACACAGAAGTTCTGAATCACACAGGCCGTGGACATCCGGGCCACGGCTGTCATGATTAAAGTCTTATCTACATCTTTTCATGAATATCCAAGTAACACTTCCCAATCGGGAACCTGGCCAACATAAATAGGATCGATGTTTTCTTCAAATTCAGCGTGCATCTGTCTGTGACAATGAACTAACAGTCCGCATTAAAAAAAAATAAGCCACATCTGTAAAACAGATACACCACTCAAGTTCTGAACAAGCAGAAGGGTCGCATTAGCACAGTCGATAGGAGACTCACTTTCAAATCCAGCTGTGACTCGCTGCAGCCCGCTGCAGCCCACTGCCGGTGTTCAAAACCAGGCGGTTCCTAGTGTTCACTCAGCCTCTAGGTGATGGGTACCAGAGTTAATACTCTGGAGTAAATGGAGAAATGCGCTGTAGCTACAGAGTTGTGTGCAGATGGCGATATAGGCGGACAGTTTCTTATCAGCTGTCAGTACTGGTGGCAAAGCACTTATGGCTTATAACTGTGTGCAATAATGCTGGTTCACGTCTCCCGACTTTTTTTTTTTTTTTTACAAGACAAAGTGCAGAAGTAAACAAACAACAAGGACTTTCAACCGTTTTTTTTCCGGCTGATGAACATGAAGAAAAAGAAAAAGAAGAAGAGGAGGAGAATAATAAACATAAAAAGAAGATTCAGAAGAAAGAAGAAGTACCCCACAAGCTACTTTACTTCCTTCGAAGTCTGTACTGCTTGACGGGCAAGGAATCAACAGTCAGCACAAAAATAAGCCACATCTGTAAAACATTTATGCACACAACACTCAAGTCCTCCAACAAGGCCAAAGTCCAGAAGTGGAGGAAAAACAAGGACTTCCTGTTAGAGTTTACAGCAGCCAGTGAACGCCTTGTGACTCCATACCATACAAAGCATACATGGAACGAGAAGAAGGACGTAGAGTACGGGATAGACCAAGAACAAGTTGGAAGGATAACATCAGAGAAACTCTACAACAGCACTATGTGCAGATGGTCGAGGCAGCCAGAAAAGCTAGAAACAGAACCTTATATCTCCCTCGACACCCACAGCGGTAAAAGAGGAAGTGAAGAAGAAGTAGAAGAAGTGAACGCAAGGAAGAAGAAGAAATTTTTACTTCAAAAAATGGGCTGACTAAATGCCCCTGTACTATCCTAATGCAAAGTGTGACCAAATGACACCCATGCAAATAGCTTCAAATCTGATTTCAACAAACCCCTAGTCAGTCATCTATCCGATCCCAGGGTGACAGTGGCATTTAAAAAAAAAGCAACTGCTAGTAAGCTAGCGTGTGCCCCGGGTCATCAGAAGAAGTCTCCATATACATTCAAATGTCTCTCTTACTGCTTGAAAAGATGTTATAAAGAGTTTGTTAACACATAAAAATATTATCTTGGTGTTAAAGGACATTCGTTTTAAACAGTTTGTAAAAAAATTAAAAATATTACCTTAATGTTAAATGACGTTATAAATAGTTTGTAAACACATTAAAAATATTACTTTGGTGTTAAAGGTTCCTCTACATCAAATGCTGAATCCGCAGAGTCAGATTTATGGTCCTTGGCTAGTCCACCAGATCCATTAGTGATAACCTGACAAGATGATGAAGCTTGTAAAGTATCCGGGTGGATATTAGGAGAAGTGCCGTTACATCCAGAACCAGCTCCAGATGAGCCTGGTGAATGGCTATCTTTAGTGGCAGACATATTTGCTCCTAATTCTGAAGCAGAGTTTTCTGGAACATTATCTGGATTCAACTTTTCAGATCGACAGGTTGTACTAAACATTTCTCTTCGCAAGGTAACAGCTGCAAGATCTTGTTCCTGGTCAGACAAAGGTAAACCACTGACATGTTTAGCTGATGAAAGATCAGTGTCTTGAACTGCAGAAATCAGGCAACTTGAATGGTCCAAGTTTTCAACATTTGTAGCCAAATTCATGTCACCAGTGGAAGTTCTGTATGCAATACTTCTGAAAAGTTCAAAAGCACAACAGGTGAATCAACAGCATTTGACAATGAGAATATCCATCTTCATATTTTTCTGCATTTGCACTCAAAAAGGTGGTTGACACGAGAATATTTATCCATTCTTTGATTTTCTACTGGATACAGAACTCGAAAACAGGCTCATTATTTAAAATGGGCTTCTTCAACTGTAGCTATCACTACAATCTTGTCAGGCCCTTTTCAGTTATTTTTCTCTTGACATCCTGATACCATTTCAATTCAAGCAGTATTTTGTATGTGGGTATTTACAGCTACAGTGAATGTCTTTATATATGGGGTTTCAATCTTAAAGTTGTTAAAAAATCATACAATAAAACCCCCCGTGTGGGTTCCGGGGCCCCCATTGTGGGGAAAACAAGAATAGACCCACTGCCTCCCCAAAAGCATGTCGTAAGAGTCGACTAATTGGGAAGCTTCCTTTGAAGTCGGAGTGCATCTGCCGGAGAGGCAAGGAACCAACAGTCTGTATTCAAGAGAATGAGATCTGTAAAACTGATGCACACGCAACACTCAGGTTCTGGAGCAGGACTGCAGTTCAGTAGTGGACGAGCAACCAGAACCTTCCGCCAGAGTTTACAGCTGGTGAACGCGAAGAAGAACGAAGAAGAAGATACAATAAAACACAGCCAGAGCTGACTCAGTTTTCAAGTGTGACTAAGAGTTAAAAGTTTAGATAACAACAAAACAGAGCAAGTGCTGGCAAAGTATTCAAGGGTTACTAAGAGTTAAAGAGAGCTGCAGTAAAGCATTTAAAGAAAATGCGACAGACAGCCCTTAGCTCACAGGAGGAACTGAAGGCATGAAAAGAGACAAGAAAGATAGGATAGAGTTTTTCAAACGCTGTGCAGCAGGGGCCAAAAAAACAAAATGGAAGCATTTTATCGATGAGACTGGGGTGATAAGACACTGAGTAAGTTTTGGAAGCTACATAGTCAGATGCTCAAGGAAGATTGGCCTAGCGTAGTGGGAACAATTAATAGAGATAATGGCATGCTATTCACCACAATTACTGCAGAGGAACCAAACTCCGACTCTTCAAGAGCATCATTTTGCCAGTTCTTCTTTATGGAGCAGAATGCTGGAGAATGACCAAAAAGGATGCACACAAGCTGTCCACCTTCCACCACACATGTCTATGTAGAATTATCACAATTTTCTGGCCAGATACAATCTCAAACACTAAACTACTTCAAGTCACAAACCAAGAAACTTTAGACAGTATGATTACCAAGAGAAGATGGAAATGGCTTGGCCACGTTATGAGAATGACTTCTGATATACCTTTCCAACGATGGAAAGTGACCTGAGTGCGGCATCTTTGACATGGAAAACTGCACTGAAGATTGCACAGGACAGGAAAGCATGGAAAGTCCTCTCTGAAGCCTCATGTGCCACTTGGCATAACGAGAACTGATGATGATGATGATGATTCACCACAGAAAAAAGAGAAAGGGGAGGCTTTCCTGAAAAAGTTCATTTCACAGACAGACCACAAAATTGAACCGGGAGTGCCGAGAGTGGCAGCGGGTGCTGGGGAGGGGGAAGTACAACAGCTGATTCACGACAATTCTCACCCAAATGATCTGATTATCTATACAGCAGCTTTCCGGTGGCTAGAGAACACGATGCATACACATGTCGTAATTGTAAAAGACTGGAAGCATGCTGAGAAAGGTGAAGACAGGGATGTTTCGAGCAGAGTGGCAAGCTTTACTGGGAAGGTCACGGGTAGTAAGCATACTTTGGATCTTTTCTTCAGGCCATGCCGGCATGGTGAGGAATGAACATGCAGACAGATTAGCTGGATCTGCACCACTGGGTGGTGAATTGATACATGATGATGCAGATGTGGTCAAGGCCCTCTGGGAACAAGTAATGAAGATAGAGGAGAAACAAGATTATTATGGCCTGGAGAGAATGATGCATCTGGGTGTAACCAGAGGGTCTGGCTAGCCTACTACACTCAGAGGAAAGACAAGATGGACTTTAACCAGATTGTGACCGGTGCCATTAATATTGGAACTATACGCTGGCTACTGAAGATGGGGAGGGAGCTCATATGGGAATGCTCCTAGTGTTGTGATGTCAATTCTTGACTCAACTAAATAGAATTCATACCTTATACATTTGGTCAGAACATGCCAAAGTTATCTGCTTTCAGGTGGTCACTTCCACTGCATACATAAATCTTTTTCAAAGCAATGTACTCCAGATTTTTTTTTGGGGGGGGGGGGGGGTGTAACATTTATTGCTTCTAAACTCTCTGAGACTGAAAAAACTGGAGAAGAATTTCTCTGGGTAGTGGGTCAGATGCCTTGTCTTCTCAGATAAATATTAAAAATATGAGATACTATGTGCAAACTGCACTCACAGCAAGTGTATGTGAAAACTGAAGCTTATCTGCAAACAATATCAATAAACGAATCAACGAGGAAGAAATATGACAAACAGATGAATGAATTCATAAGTATGTGCTCACTGATTTGTGTATCCAACTGTGTCAATCCGATCCTGTCCTGCTTGACTGAGAATCTCAAACAAAGGCTGTTGGCTTCTGGGCATAGTTGTGCTGTTTATCTAACCTCCAGGACACACAATCATGACTTTATTTGCAGTTATTTATGTCTGAACCATCACAGATCTAGTAACACATGTAACTTTTCACTTGTTTCTAAGCTGTTACTTCTCCATTCGTAACTCTACACGTGTTCGTTAAATGTTACTTCTCACTTAGTCCTTCAGCAACCTAGTGTATTGTCCAGTTAATGCTATACATTGTTCAAGTGTGTAATAATAAATGTTATTGGCATGTGCTGAGTAGCAAATATATACAATATATTTTAAATGTAAAAAATAATTGGCTATCCCCTGAATAACAGTCCCAAATTATCGAGGCCGAAAACAGGGCCTTAGTCACATGTAAATTGCGGACTTCGGCGACTTAAATTGGGGACTTCCGGCGACTACCGCCATTGCTGAAAGTATCTCCAGCACTGCTACGTGCAGCAAGGGGCTAAACTAGATGGCTGAGACTCACGAGCAAATAAAATAAAGGAAGCTGCAGGAGATGTGGTAGCTGCTGCTCGTGAGTCCAAGTCATCTAGTTTAACCCCGCTTAGCGGCGCGGGAGATACTCTTGGCGGTGGCAGTAGTCACCGGAAGTACCCCATTTAAGTCAGCCAAGTCCGCAATTTACATGTGACTGAGACCCTGTTAGGGTATATTTTCGGCCTTGATCATTTGGGACCGTTATTTGGAGGATAGCCAAATAATTACTTGAACAGACAACTTTTATACTTTGTAATAGGGGCAATTATCCCCCTTACAAATTGTCTAAATATTAGGGAACAGGGGGAGGGGGGGGGAGCACACATCATTACATTGCAGAGTGTTGAACTGTAGAAGCTAGATCAAACTGATTAAAGTTCAGTGAACACTGTATCCCAATCATAACCCTGCGGATTGAACACATTGTCAATGTAATACTATTGTAAATATTACTACTACCACTGCAAAGATTTTAAATTATATTATTATGATATATACTCAGATAGCTGGTTCCTAAATAGATTTATCATAGCCCCATTTCAGATGTAATATCGCATAAAGTAAACTGTTTATGGCAAACCTGAGTAAAGTTTTAAACATTTAGTTCACTGTAGCACGGAGCGCTGGACTAACGGCCAATACATAAATAATTTTCAACAATTATAAATTATTTACGTTTATAAAATTACACCCACACAACGCACGTTTGATACAATTAAACTGTCACTTTGACTTCCTCGACTTCAGAAGTCGTTAATATTAACACGAACACGCATGGGGGGCGTGTGAACTACTGGGCTGGGACCCGCGATGTTATAATGATAAAAGTTTTATAAAACACTGTAGTGTCTCTAGAGTCTGATCTATTTCGACAACTGTACAGACAGTCGACCGTTTATTAAAAAGGCAAATGACTGGACGTAAAATTGCCGAGTGACGGCTGCAAAGTTCTGTGAAGAATACGCAACTTACATTTTTTTTTAAACTAGTAAACTCTCCATCCTACTAATATATCTGAAATTGTATATTTCGATCGGTTGGCAGGCATTCACAGACAGAAGTTAGAAAGATAACGAACGAACTTCAATCTACTGCATTTTAAAACAAACGACTATTTATTATCAGAAACTAATATAATAAACTCCATCATCTTGTAAGAGATTAGAGACTTACAATATTTAATGTAGAATGTCTGCAAAAACATCCAAGAGGCGGACAGCAGTACCTGCCTCCAAACTCCTCCTTCACGATGTCGACTGCTGTGTTTACGTCTGCACGCATGCGCAACTCTTTGGAATTCCTGGCCTTTAAACGTTGGTCCTTCATTAGGTTAACTGTTATCTTAGTGAGACGGGAAAGGGGAGGGAATGGGGTCTCGGATAGGGGCCTACCCTGTAGGGATTAGGGGGTGGGGCGGGGGGGGGGGGGGTCTTTAAGGAGGGGGAGTCAGCGACTCAATGCATTTGCTCAAGAAGATTAAGAAGGATTGCAGACGAAGACAATGGGCGGAGTCCCTAAATAGATAGATCTAGGCTGACAAAGATCAGCTTCATATTTGTTCCGGGGCATTCTGATGTAATGTTATGTTATGTTATCACACTCGACGTATTTGCACATTGGGCATCCACATGAGTGCTCAGTCCTCCGATGCAGGAGCCATTCCAGGGTACCTCTACTGGTTATTCCCATGTGGAGTTGGTTATAGTATCTCCTGCCTTTACTCGAAGACGACATAGACGTGCTTTACCAAGCTTCTCCACGGTCACGCAGTCGTTTTAGCGTCAGGGATTCGTCGTTTCCCCCCTAAACTAGTCCTAACAGTGTTGACGATTTCAGCTCTGTCCACGTTTCTTCCCGTTTACATTAGCGCCTTACTTGCCAGCTTGTCAGCTCTTTCATTACCATGTACTCCTGCGTGACCAAGTGTGTAGATCCTGCTGATGGAAATTGTCTGCGACTTTCGAATGCTTTCTACCCATTCAGAGCAAAGACTCCCTGTAGCGATTTTCTGAAGCATATTCATAGAGTCTGAAGCGATTACCGCATGTATAATTGCTTGTCCTGCTACACATGCGAGTGCTCTGGAAGCAGCAGTTATCTCCATGGTCATGCTTGACGTAGTTGTCTGGCAATACCGCTATCCTCTTTTATTATTTTCCCTATCCTTTGTGACGTATATGCCAATGCCGATCTAGATCCGCGTTTCACGGACCCATTTATGTAAATGACGACGTCTTCTGGGCGTGAATGCTAATCAGTCAGGGCCCTAGTCTCGGCGTCTACGGCGTCAGTCATCTTACTCCTGCAGTTCATCCCCACTGTTATGACAACCTGAGACAAGTTATGCATGTATACTGGTGTATCCGTCCCTTTTTTCCGTGACTGATCTCGTCTAGGTCACATACTTGCTTGATTAGATTTTCTGCCTCGGTCATCCAAGATTAGCCTCTTCTAAGATGAATCCATTTTATATCTTTGATAGCCTTGTGCAGTGGGTGGTTGATATCCGCTGATATCCCCGTGCACTTTCACCTGTGCCACTTTATGTTTGGTGGCCATCGTCGGTAAACCCAAGACATACCTCATGGCATGGCACAGGGTGTCTTTTGTGCAACCGAGTATGAGTCTCGTGGTCGCTGGTGTAAAGGGCAATGTGCGAGCTGACAGACTTGCAAATGATACTTAGGTGGGAAACGGATGAGCAATCGACACGGCTGATAAAATGATTACCCTCAGAGAGGCAGCTCGATTTAACGATTCAAGTAATGATTGTGAATCTTCAGCACTGACGAGGCTACAAGAACATAACATCAAAAGAGGTGAAGCCAGACAAGAGCGCTCCACTGGAGCCCAAAGAAGAATAGTAAACTAACACAGAACTTGTGCTGATAAGAAACACCCACTGCATAAAGCACTTTTTAGTGAAAAGGGCGACAGGCTAAAGAGGAACAAATCATGGCTAGGTCGGGCAGAAGATGTTATTAGGCAAAAATGCAGCCTAACCGACATCACCCCTGGTGCAGAGTGGATACCTGTGCCTCATGCGTTTATATTTGTACATTTTCCTGTATTGCCACACTCAACAGGCGATGTAGAGAAGAGAATCTTGTTGCTGTTAACGCAGAGGTCAACGCTCTCATCAGTGAAAATTCAGACGAAGCAGATGCACTAATCTACACAGACGGATTCGTTATACGCCAAAAAAGAAGCGCATGGGCATTCACAGCACGCTCAGCGGGCAGAACAGTCAAAGAAGCCAACGGCGCCTTCTCCACGACAACCAGCAGCTTGACGATGGAGGTGATGACAGTGACGCAAGCGTTCGCCTGGCTCGAAACACAAAACTACACTCGCGTAGGTATACTCAGTGATTCAATTAGTATGATCCGGAGGGTTCAGGCAGGTTCGGTGCGAAGACAATGGCTTGAATCATTACATAAGGGCGTTTCTGTTGAGGCAATTCCCAACGTTTAAGAATGTTGGACTTTCCTGTAGGAGATACAGGTTCCAATCCTAAATATGGTCATGGATTTATTCTTTGAGGGAGCGCTTGGGATCAACAACAAAAATAAACTTAGGACTACCATATGTCCTTCATGTTGCGGACATGTCCTCAATCACGAGTATATATATATATATATATATATATATATATATATATATATATATATATATATATATATATATATATATATAAGCATCCGCAAAATGGCGGTAACGATATTTTCCCCCCAAAAGCAAGCCGAAAATCTTAAATCCTCAGACTGAAGGACTGTGCTGAGATTTTTCCGACTTTGGCTTGAGTTAGAAGAAGAACGGAGCACTTATGAGTTACACCCGTGAGCTATGATGTTGATCGGTTGGAAATAAATAAATAAACAAAACACCTCACAAAAAAAAAGTAAATACGGTAATTTACCCTATCGTCTGGAAAGACGGAAAGGTGTCAATCATCAAGCGGTAATCAATAGTTGTTTTGTTAGCCCCACCATAAAGCTAAAGCCTATCCTCTCCCATAACGTGCTACTGTCATTATCATGGTCAGGGATGGGGTCCGGTTCGGACCTACCATTGGGCGAATACGTTTCCTTTGCACACTAAGTCCTTTACATTACTACAATAAATGACCTTTAGTCCCTCTTCAGGTGTGAATGCCACAGCAGTAAGAGCTGACAGTCCTAGCTCCGAGCAGGTATAGCCTTGACACACTAACCTCCAAAGATTAAGAAGTCAACAAACTTCTGAACTAGATAAAATCGTCACTAGGACAATAAATGTGTCTTCAATGTGTCGCATATTTAATTATCGATTGCTGATTTAAGAATCTACACCAGCGCATACCGGGCATTCCACAGATACTCCGCAACTGATTTCTGATTTTAGAATCGACATCCTAGCACACCGAGTATATTCATAGATGCTCCGTCTCCCTCAGCAAATGTCTTAAGGTGTATATGCTAACTGTTTCCGTAGCACACTGATTATACACACGTCGCTCTCTTAAACTTCTGTCT